TTTTATTTTGTGTAATAAAAAACTAATATTTTTATACATATAGTGTGTCAAAGTTGTTTTCATCCTGAGGGTATATAAGCACCTTTAAAGTCTTTCACGCCTTTGTTTCTATTTGTACATGGTTATATTTGGATGTGGTGTTGATGGATCTGACATACCAATTGTGAATAAATATACTGTATGTTAAAGGGCAGTGTACACAATTATAAATTGTTTTATTATGGCTGCATCCTTAATGATCTCCTACATGGAAAGTAACACTGCTTTATGTCAGAAATGCACAACATTCTAGCTGATGCATAAACTGCCTTAACTGATTTCCAAAGCATGTATAGCAGAGTTGGTATGATTTACTAAATTATACTGCAAGTCAGGGTTCCCCAGTGTTCCCTCTTCTTCCTCACTGGCAAAACAATTCTCCCATTCTCTTGCATCCCAGTTTGTTTGTATTGGCAAGGGCAAACATGGCTGAGCTCAGCTGTAGTTCTCTATAATGTAGATTGTAATTGATGATAAATGAGAAAATAAAGATGTGAAAAATATTTTGTGGTGAGAGAAAAAGCCCCAGAGAGGGCTGCCCCCCTGTACGTGCTATATATCACTACTAATCTTAGAAAACTTGCCTAGTTTTCTTTAAAAAAAAAAAGTGCTATTCATGTACAGGATGGGTGAAGATGCATTTTAAATTGACAATGGTAATGCACAGATTTCCCACACAGGCTTCTACAGGAACCACTGATACTGTAAATACATGGCTTAGATGTCACTCCAGATATTTAAGAGCTCATTGTGTAGGTGACCAGGAGAAAGGCAGATATATGATTGTCCACTCACTCAAGCAGAAATTCAAAAAGTTGAGGTTTCATAACAGGTGTAAAAGTAAAAGTCCATCCATTATACAGAGATATGGTGAGCACCACTGGAACACATGGGAGAAGAGAGACTGACATCTAACCAGTTTTGTTGGTGACCCAACGTCTTCGGAGAGTACTCAGGGGTTAACAGTGAAACCATTTAGATGTCAGTCTTCTCCCATGTGAGTCAGATTATTTTTTTTCCATTTTTCTTTATAAAACAAAACTTTTTTATAGTTTGGGATAGAGTGAGGAGGTGTTAAAACCTTTGTCAACTTTCTGTTCCTGTCTGCATTCCCTTTGGGGAGATTGCCTCACACGTTCTATTTAGTTAAGAGATGTCAACAGAACAGGAAGTGAGAAGACATCGCCCCAGAATTAAAATAGGATTTTTGTACTCACCATAAAGTCCTTCTCTTGGAGTCTACTGAGGGACACAGGAAGTCTCTCAACTTTAGGTTGATCTACTGCTTACAGGAAGATTGGACACTGGCAAACAAACCTCTAGGCCAGCTTAGGATAAACCTTTCAGCATGCTATACCGCACCGGCAAGCAATACGGTACCAAAATCCTATTATCTTTCTTATCCACTGAGGGACACAGAAATTTTTGCACATCCAGGATGCCTGAAAACAGCCTAACTGAGGGTTTGGAAACACAGCTAACAGACCAAGAAAAACAACAGAGAACTACAGACTCCTTGTAGTTCAAAGAGCCACTTGAAGAACCTTATCTGATACCAGATGTGGTCATAATGTTTAACTGGTAGAACAGAGAACATATTAACAGAAGTCTAGGGGGCAGCCTTGCAAAAATTGCTTGATGCCAAAAAGCCCAAGAAGTGCTCATGAATCTAGTGAAGTGTGCCTTCACAGAAAGGGTGGAACCCAATCCTTGGAGACCCTAAGCTTGCATAATGGTCTACCTGAGCATCCTAAAGATGGTGAAACAAGAGCTGGTGGAACAAGAAGCCGGAACCCCTAATGGGGTCCAGCTACGATTACAAAAGGGGAATTGGTCTTCCTAAAGCTGGATGAATTGGCACAGAAGACAATGTCTTGGTTGAAGTAAAAAGCAGAAAGCAGAAAGCATCTTAGGCATTAAGGATGTTCTGGACTTTTGTAACTCTACACTGCACCTACATTTTATGAGTCATTCATAAAATGCAGGCCAGAGCTTGGAGCCTGCAGCATCCCATGTGGTGCTGTCTGCATAACACTACAGAGAGTACTTTGTGATTGGATCGCCTTTGACACGTCACATGACCAGCCTCTTCTCCTCCCACCTTTTTTCCATTCATTCATTTATTTTCAACTTTGTTTGCATCTAATGAATTTTTTTTGGTTAAGTAGAGGTAAAGCACATAAAGCTGAATTACAGCTGAACCCCATATTCAGAGACAAAAGCTAATTCTATTTCCAAATGAGAAATGACAAAGCTTTTGCATTTTGATTGTTCAAACCAATACATAAATGTCTATCCTTATAGATAATTGCCAAATGACTGCCAATATCTTTGAATGCTATTAATATACTGTACCTACAATTTGCTCTCTCAGTTAAATTACTGTGTTTCTGTACATGCAATCTCATACTTGGTATAATTACAGATATGTGAATTATGCTTCAGAGTACACAAAAGCCTGATGTTTCAGCTGAAAATATACAACCTGTTAACAGATCAATTGCATTCTTCTAATTTTAAACTAAAAAATGTTGTTCTGCTGCAGATTTAAGTCAAAATGTCTTTTAGACACCTGCATGAGATTTAAATGACTTTATTCCTGTCATGCGTGGAATGTAAGTCTTTTCAAATATGTAACCTGAGCTCATAGAAGGGTTTGTTAACTAATATGACTATAGTCCAAATATGCCAAACAGAAACTTAATTAGGTGTAGCAATAATATTAAAGTCTCGGTAGTTATTAAAAAAAAACACAGATACATTGTTTATTCCTTAAAAATAATTAAAGCTGAAGTTTAATCTGCTTCACGTTTTGCTTCACCCCTTTCCTCACTCCCCACTTCCCTCATCAACATGCTAATGAACTTTTTTACATTTTCAGTGCATACCTTATTTTAGACCCTGTGTTTCTCTATGCAATGCAGGCAGATTCTTCTTCTATGATGAAGAAACTGAAATCTAATAAATAAGAGGGGTGGAGCAGGGCAGAAAGTCTGGACAAGAAAGACTAGATGATGCTGGATGACCTCCATCTAGCAAATAAGAACGGTTCTATCTGACTTGTAGCTGCTTCTAATGCACACTGCAAGAGGCTCACAGCATGCAGTGAAACCAGAGTAAGCATTTTTAGTGCAGATGACGAGCCTATACAACTGTGCAAGACTGAAGTTAAGGCTGGAGCCTAGCTTTAATGACTCATTTATACTAGCTGCAAGGGCTGGCGCTCCTCAGAGCCATTTGCCAGGTGATCAGTAGGTAATATGTCACCTTCTCACCACGTTTTGACCCCCCTTAAATGCTGCACTACTGCACCACAACTGCGTGCATTGCCGCGTGGCCCAGTTCACTTAAAAGGGGTGCAATCACTGGGCGGTTTATAAAATAATTGTTTTTAAGGCAAAGATCACTACAGTATATAGAGTGTTTATGTCCACAGTAATGGTAATCACAATTTATCGCTTTTGTTGTTTTAAACTGTAAAAAGGCTAGATTGAATTGATTGCTTTTGAGTTTTGCACTGTGCCTAATATACTCTTTGGTGTTATATTAAATAAGCCACACTCTTTCTACTTGACTGACTGTTTTATGGTTATTTTTTTGTCTTGTGTTTGTTTTTAGAAGCATATTTTTTGGGAAGGCTGAATGTTATGAACAGAAATTCATCAGCTTTGAAACAGTACCAGGGAAGCAATCCATCAAACCAGCAGCATGTCTAGAAGGACCTAAACTAAGGCTCAAGAACAGGTGAGGGGACCTTTATGAGCTCATTTTTTGTATGTACGGTGCCATTCTGCATTTTCTCCAAGTTCCAATGACTGTGCTGACCTGCCTGATTTAATCCTGTTGTATACTTTTTTACTTCACCATTTGCCTTTACAGAATCACCGTAGTCATCACATCGTCTATTGCAATGACACTGTACTAATGATACTGGGCAGGGAGGGGTTAACATTTAGGGTGATCAAAGGGTTAACTGTGTGCTGTGTGTTTTACATTATGTGCTGTGTTGTGTTGTGTGCTGTGCAGAGTGATACAAAGCAGCATGTCCTATGGGCAGCACAGTGGCTAAATGGTTAGCACTTCCACTTGGCAGTACTAGGGTCGTTGGTTCAAATCCCAGCCACTGCACTACCTGCCTGGAGTTTGTATGTTCTGTCTGTGCCTGCGTGGGTTTCCTCTGAGTACTCCGGTTTCCTTCCACACTCTAGACATGCTGGTAGGTTAATTGGATCCTGTCTAAATTGGCCCTAGTATGTATATGAATGTAAGTTAGGGACTGATGTGAATGTACAATATATATATATGTAAAGCACTGTGTAAACGGACAGCGCTATACAAGTACCTGAAATAAATAAATGTCCTTTCTGAAAGGAGGGGAACCTGTGTTGTGTACTGTTACAGTGATATGACATGTATACAGTATGTATATCCCAGCTGCCCTGTACTCCATTATGGTGATATGACATGTATACAGTAATGTATATCCCAGCTCCCCTGTACTCCATTATGGTGATATGACGTGTATACAGTAATGTATATCCCCCCTCCCCTGTACTCCATTATAGTGATATGACATGTATACAGTAATGTATATCCCAGCTCCCCTGTACTCCATTATGGTGATATGACGTGTATACAGTAATGTATATCCCAGCTCCCCTGTACTCCATTATAGTGTGATATGACATGTACACAGTAATGTATATCCCAGCTCCCCTGTACTCCATTATAGTGATATGATGTGTATACAGTAATGTATATCCCCCCTCCCCTGTACTCCATTATAGTGATATGACATGTATACAGTAATGTATATCCCAGCTCCCCTGTACTCCATTATAGTGATATGACATGTATACAGTAATGTATATCCCAGCTCCCCTGTACTCCATTATAGTGATATGACGTGTATACAGTAATGTATATCCCCCCTCCCCTGTACTCCATTATAGTGATATGACATGTATACAGTAATGTATATCCCAGCTCCCCTGTACTCCATTATAGTGATATGACATGTATACAGTAATGTATATCCCAGCTCCCCTGTACTCCATTATAGTGATATGACATGTACACAGTATGTATATCCCAGCTCCCCTGTACTCCATTATAGTGATATGACATGTATACAGTATGTATATCCCAGCTCCCCTGTACTCCATTATAGTGATATGACATGTATACAGTACTTACTCCTTGAGTTCCCTGCGGCGGTGGAGAGGGTGTCTCCTCTCAGCGGAGCGAGCGGGGGCCTCTCCTGCACCTGTCCCCTCAGCGGCAATGCTGAAGAAGCCAGAAAACCGGAAGTCGGAAACCGGAACTCGGCTTCAAAATGAGGCTTGGAGCGCAGCCGCTAGAGAATTTCTCCTCGCATTTGGCGAGCGGGGGAGCGGCTTTTTCAAGCCCTGTCCTAGACAAATAGAAAGGTAAGACAGTTTTTTGAAATATATATATTTTTAAGTATGATGTGTGAATGGGTATACAAATAAATATATAGTGGGTGTTTCTCAAATTTGACTGCAAAGGTGGAAATACACTTTAAGTGTAGTTTTGAATCTTTTTTTAGCTGAGCTGTAATGAATGAATATATCTGAAAGTCCATCTGCATTAGGTAAGCAACTAAAATGAGTTGCTTTGAAGAATGTAGGAACATACCAATTTATCGTATAACACTAGCACAGCTCTTAACATATACAATAAGAAAAAATTTAGACTCTTGACATATATTGTATACAATACAATGAACATGCTGTCCTGGAGGAACATTTTTTATAGAAGAGCTTGCCCAGATATGCACCTGAACCTGTTAAATTATGTAGTTGTCCTAGATAAAAGGACAGCAGAATTATTTATTGTTAGAATAAAAGATCCTGAAAATTGTGAAAGTTATATGAAAGTAAAAATTTATTAATCTACAGATTCTACAAAATAAACATTTTGGACAATTCAAGTGCATAGTGCAGTTTTTACATACTTAAAAAGTTAGTTGCTGGTGTAAATTGCTGTTCAGTATGTCAAACCCTGACTCCACCCTCCCCCATAAGGCTCAGGTACACTAACTGGCAGTTGCAGCATTGGGAATACTGTGACAGACCCAAGTGGGGAAGGGGCTTTTGGCGGGAACTATGTTCTAGCCTTCTACTCACTGATTACGGCCCATGGAGGAGACTGGGGATTGTGTCTGCTTCTTCTGGTGAAAGAATGGAAAAGAGCTCAGTTCAGCCTCTGATCCCATGGAGAGAGTGGATCAGTCTGTGATGATGGATAATAACGTGGATGATGATAATGAAACGCTGAGAGCGAGGCTTGGATTAATTCTATGAATAAAGACAATAAAGCTTTCCTTCTGGAGTGGATGGAAAGGTGTATTATTAATCTTGTACAGGTTAATGGTCAGAGGAATATGATAGCCCTCCTGCAGACTGGGTTGGAGAAGCTCCTCCACTTGGGACAGAAATATTTATCAACAATCTCCCTCAGGAATTTTATGAAGATAATGAATTCCACTTTTTTAGATTGCTGGAACATTGTATAAGTGTTGTCTTATGATGATTATTCTAGTGGACAAATTATACACATGAAAGGCAAATGCCTGAAATACTGCATGTGTAATGTACTTTGTATATCCAGGGGTGTGGCATTGTAGCCGAGCTGTCTAGGGTGGGGTCCTTGCTGGCCTGGATGCCTGGCTGTTGATTAGCTTACTGTTAATTAGATCACTGTTAGCTGCTAGCTGTTAATTAGAATTCTATTTGATTAGTTCACTGTTAGCTGTTGGCTGTTCATTATATGTACAGATGATATTACTGTTTACAGTTTGCATTGTTTAGGATAATGTGATCAAGCTCCTACCTGATTTTGTGTGGTATAAATTCTGTGTGAGTTGACAGTAAAGAGAGTTCCTTATTGCACCTAAGCTAGTGTTGTCTAGATCTTAGGTGAAATGCCCAGCTATTATACCTTGTTCTTGTGTTCCAGTGGAGAGGAAGCAGTTCTCTAATGGAGGCACCAAAAGGGGTGCCATCACAAATATAATAAGCTGTAAATTTTTCACAAAAGTACCATAGTTTCCTAATACTCTAATAGGGTTATGCTTGGTTCCACTGGAGGTATTATCAGCGTTTACTAGAGTTTCTAGCACTTTAACCATTCTTGGTTTGCAAGGATATTGCCATCCTGTATAATGATCCACATTTCCAGTTGAATCAACAATGTTTTACAATTAAAAAACATACAACATTTACCGACAGAGCTTACTTTTTACTGACAACCTGACATTTGGTAAAAACTCCTATTAAGATCCATTTTGGATGCGCAATGAAACCCATAGCCTGTGAAAAAGCACCTTGTTTATGTGGCTTCAGCCACCAGGTACTGCATGCAGGCAGCCCATTTATGTCTAATGGGATGCGGCCTTTTCAGATGGAAATATAAAATATAGATTTCTGCTAATCATAATAAAATGCTACTTTGATTGGGTGGAATCTGAATCTGCAACACCCACTCAGAAGCAATAAAATGTTTCAGTATAAAATTACCGACGATATCAAAATAAACTTTTTTCTGAGGGCCCAAAGATTTCTGCAGTCATCAGATTGGATATTAGTCTGCAAGTGATCCAAACTAGCTGCCGCTCACTGAACTTAAAACTAGAGGACTTAGATATTTGTTTTCAAACTTGAAACCAGGGGTGGGACTGACAACTCATGGGGCCTCCGGGCAATAGGATCATGGGGCCCCTGTGTCCTTGCCCAAACTCAAAAAAGCCTATGAAAAAGGTACCAGGGGCATCTCATGGGGCCCACAATCCACTCACACACCCCGGGCCTCGGGCAGTGCCCAAAGTGCGAGAAGTTTCCAAAGTGTGGTGAGTCTGCCCGCTGCTGAAAACCCTTTTAGTTTTCCTATTGTGTGCTTTCCTATTTTTTTCGCTAAATTGTTCCTGCACCCATTTTGCATTACTTTGCATTTGTAAATCTAATAGATAAAACATGTATGTAGGAAAGTTGACTCTGATGAATGCTCCAACTAGAATGTAAGAGCTCTACTTCAGTGTAAACTCCTCTCTGGACATGGGTAATGAGTGGTACATGATTTTCTAAATATCAGGGTTGCAAAATATGGATGCTAGTGAACAGTGTGTTTTCCATTAAAACACATGGTGGCTGCTGTATGTGTGTAAAGGGTTAACTGCATAGCCCTTTACCTTGCCCCCCCTCCTACCCCCTCTCCCCCCCCCTAAGCCTAGTGATAATCTACGTTCAATCTGTTGGTGCTTAAACTGCTGTCCTGTGTGCTGAAACATAGGTTCAGGCAGAGAGTGTAATTGTCACAAAGTACTTTTAAAGAATTAGATTAAAAAAAAGTTTGAAAAATTCTGTTTTTTATGCTCCATGAAGACTCCGTGACTAATCTTTCAATCTATATTGGTGCTTAAACTGCTGTCCTGTGGAGTTGGAAAATCTCTATGTAGATTCAGGCAAAGG